GTATGGTCTGTGTATACAAACTTATCCATAATGCCATCTATTCTTTGTAAAGGTCCCATCCCAAACCCCGAAAAGCACCCCCAAACCATAACACACCCGCCTTTATATTTGACAGTGGGCAAAGTGTACTTGGGGTTCAATCTTTGTCCACTAGGACGTCTAATGTAATGAACACCATCTGATCCAAACATATTGAACTTGGATTCGTTACTGAAACATACCCTCTTACAGTCACAGATGCTCCACTTACTCGGGCGACTTCAAATCATTTAATCTTCAACTTACAGTTTTCGTAGAAACACTGACAATTCCTTTTGTCTCGATGTTGGCTTTTATTTGTCTTGGGGTTTTAAACGGATCTTTGGACGAAATTACTTTTATTAATCTAACTGATCTAGCATTTAGTTTTCTAGGCCGACCACTTCTCTTAGAGCAGGCCTCTCCAACTCGAGCACTCGGTGCTGGTGCGCTCCGGTGCCGTTCCCCCTCCTCCTCGACCACACAGTCGTCGCGACAGAGAGAAAAATATTAGACGCCATTTCTTAATAGGTCAAGACAAAGTGGACAGGTTTTTTAGCGTGCATGTGCATCTTTTTTCAAACGATGTCGTTCAATCCTGCATGGAAGAAGCCTATTTTTTGTAAATACTGATGGAAAAGCAAAATGCTCAATTTGTCACACTGTATTGAGGACAGCCGTTCTAAGTTCTGAAGAGGTAATTATTAATTTGTTCGTAGTTGATTATTATTAATGGTATCGTAATGCAAGTTATATTGTTGCTTTGAAAATCGCCAAAAGTTTGAGACCGTTTAGTGACGGTGCACTTGTCAAAGAATGCTTAGTGGAGTGTGCAGAAATATTGTGCCCATCTCCTGTAAGCAACTTTGAGACAATTAGTATGTCCGAGCAAACCAGTTTCTCGCCGGATACTTGAACTTGGTGCAGATTTAAAAGAACAACCGCGGGAAAATGTGCCCATTTTGTGCAGTACTCTATATTCTTTCGTTAGAGGTGTTGAAATAGCCTTTACTGTCACCGACGAACTACAAGTCGTTCTCCCGTTCAAAGAACGGTCGGAGAAGATATTTTTGATGCTGTAGAATACACAATGAATGACATGGGTATACTACTCAAAAGTTTGCGTAGTGTTGTTACTGATGGAGCGCCAGCAATGTTATCGGAAGCACAAGGTTTTACTGGGCGAATGAAAATAAAAGTACGCGTCGCTAGGCTACCTCCGATATCATCGATACACTGCATATTACATCAGGAACAACTATGTGCAAAAACCTTCCGTAATTTAAAATCTATTATGGATGTAGTAATAACGTGTCAATTTCTGCAGAAAGCAAGATCTCAACCACGGCAGTTTAAAAGTATTTTTAAAAGACCTGGAAGCAACTTACGGTGACGTACCCTTTTATTGTGTTACGGACTGGTTAAGCTACGCAAAAGTGCTAAAGAATTTTTTTTAATCATTGACGACGTTGAGATGTTTATGCAAATGAGATTTTTACGACGCCATTTTCAGTGCTTTTCGAAACAGAACCGCCGCAGTTCCAAATGGAGCTGATTAAGCTTCAACGCGATACGATCCTTAAGGATAGATACTACCACTACGATAAAAAATTAATTTCGTTTTATCAAGGTGATAAGCAGCAAGATTTTCCCAAAATGCTTGCACTAGCCTTGGAAATTTGCTCGATGTTCGGTACAACGTATTTATGCGACCAGATGTTTTCTTTAATGAATTTGAACAAAACTAAAAACATATCTTTGATGTGTCCTTAGAGGCGATAATCAGAATTTCCACTGCTCAAGCCATTGTACCAAATATTTGAAAACTTGTTGAATCGAAACGCCGTCAAGATCATCTTAAGAATAAATGTGTTTACGTCGAAATTATGAACATTATTTTATCACCTGCACCTAGTAATGGGTGATTCAAATTGAATTTCCACATTACAAATAATTATTTTTTTGAAACGCTACTGAATTTGTAAACGACAACGTGCCATTTCTAACGTCAAAATATAAACAAAACAGTCATGAAGCAATATACGAACAACGTGTTAAAATTATCCAAGCCTATAATGAAAGCGGCCGATCAAGGAAGCATACATTTCGTGCTTTACGTGAATTTGGTGCCAAAATTCGAGCAAACGGATCCGTCGCTAACACCAAAACCTCTAGGCGTGCTCGTAGAGGTGGGTCGGAACACAATATTGCTATTGTTGCCGAAAGTGTGGCCCAAAATCCAAGAACCTCGATTCGTCATTGATCGCAGCAACTGGACCTTACTTATTCCACTACACAGCGGATTTTAACAAAAGATTTGAAGTTACACCCATACAGAATCCAAATAACATAGGAATTGAAGCCTAGGTCACACATCAGGGGAAACGATACAATTACTGCGCGGCAAGTTTCCAGGTCGCGTTATTTCACGTAACGGCGATATCAACTGTGATTTAACTATCTTAGATTATTTTCTTTGGGGGTATTTCAAGAGCAAAGTCTACAAGAATAACCCGAACACAATTGCGGAGCTGAAACAGTTCAGTCGCGAAATTACCAACATCGGACCTGATTTGTGCCACGGAGTAGTCGAAAATTTCTCGAAACGGATTACGTCATGCCACATGAGCCGCGGCGGTTATTTACTTGATATCATCTTTCATGCATAATTGTAATGAACTGCCCTGAAAGGACAAATACATACTTTTTTATAATTTTCAGTTTCTTCCTTTTTTTTTTAAATACTTTTAATGTGGAAACCCAATTTGAATCACCCTAATAGTTTTTAAGTAAATGAACAAAAAGGGCTTGGTATGCCCACGAAAGTACCTGTCATATCGACTTGAAGATACAACGTGACGGTAGGATTTTACCATAACCTATACGTATATCAACGGTCATGACGTTTCATATTCATTTTACATATACTTTCAAACATTTAGTAGCTTGGTGTCAAACTGGCAGACTCAAATGAGCTTTTAAATGCAAGCATGAAGCATACAAATAGGATGTATTATTTTTATCTATTTACATTGCCTGCTATAGCTTTCAGTCGGTACGACAGAAACTTCTGGCGGAAATAAGTTTGTCATACCATGTTTTTCCAAATGAGCCTAAAATTTCCATCAAACCGTGTAGGCTTCATTGGATTCGGTGAAATTCTCTTGTCACGCTGTATCTTTAAGCCGGTATGGTATGACAGGTACTTCTGGCAGGATGCGACCAACTTGCTGAGCTCTTCTTGTTCATTTAATTAAAAACTATATATTATTACTAAATCCGCGATGAAGGTATATTCAGTGTGATCAGCTCCCGGGTCATTTCTATTTGCCGAATGCTACGGTTAGTACACCTTCCTCGCGATGCGACTGCCGCTGCCTAATCCCACCCCCACCTTCACGGACTCACCCCGCAGCACTGTGATGCGAGCGGTGCTTGGCGCTGCACTGGTGGCACCCGAGTTGGAGAGGCCTGTCTTAGAGGCTTCCAAGATACCTTTTTGTTTATATTTGTTCAATATTGCCCAAACCGCTTTACGCTTCAGCTTCAAATTTTTGGCAGTGTCGACTTGACGTTGACCATCTTTGTATAACTCAATGATCTTAGTTTTCACATCGAAAGAAATTTCTGGACCACGCGGCATGGTCTTAAAATCACTGAACTAATTCCACAATATTTGATGAACACAAACTAATCCTCTTCTGATACGAAACAGTACTAAACTAATGTTGAAAAAAATTTGTCTACATATTTTTGTCCCTCATAAAAAAGTGCTTATATTCAGACTTGTATTGTGTTCATTGCAGATAATGTAAAAACAAGGAATTTAGTTTTTCAACTAATAACATATTTGTTTATGGAGCAATGAAGTATGAATTCGTTTTCTAAAGGTATTTAGGTAAATATTCATATTTGTCTATATACTTTTGTCCATTACTGTAGGTGTGGCAATGTTTCGTTTTAGAGAATCACCACTTGGAGTTTGGCCAGGTACTTTATTAACACCCTGTATATATAGCCAGTCTCGGAAATAATGTGCTAATTCCTTTCCATGCTTTCGAAAATATTATTACAAATTTTGAGATGACAGCTTTTTAGGAAAATGCAACTTCTTGGATGAATCCTGAGAAGCTCAAATTCTGTCTCAATCGCAGTGTTGCCATTCACATTTTCTATTTGTGACAACATAATATGGAAATTTATTACAAAAGAAAATGACTGATATATACTTAGATCCTTGTTGACTGCTGTTGCTCCAATCATCCTGACCATAACTATTTCCACTGCTGACTAATGATGACTTTTCTCCTGGGGACTGATAGTTATCACCGCCTACTTGTCCATAACCTCCGGCATCGCCGCTTGTGCCACTTATTTCTTTCCAACCTTTTCTTCCTAGTTCCCCCATCTGAATTTATAAAAAGTATTTGCAACCAATTGTGATTTTTTAAGAAATTATAAAACATATCTTATGTTTGACTAAACACACATTAAACACAAGCTTAAACCATTAACATTAACTACAATATTCTCAAAATGCGAACAAATATGAGTTGCATATGTAGTTTTATTATTAGTGTCCTGTCAAACACAAGCGACGAATGTGACATATTTTATCCAAATTACCTAGACCATTAAAAAATGTCAAAATGAAAAGAGGGTTGACTTTAACTGAAGTTGATGAGAAGCTATTTGTGCGAGTGGTAAACAGAAAAAGAAAAAACACCATACTGTGAATAGAGCAAAAAAATCAACTAGATTTATTCCCTAACATTCATATGACATAAGTAGAATACAAACATTGTAAAAAACGTGTCAGTGTTCCTTCTCAGCTGTTCTAACTAGCTTATTCAAATAAATTCCTAAAATCAACTTTGTTTCTTAGCTCATCGTGAATGAATGGTAATTTTGAATAAAAAGAAAAAACATTCTAACATAGTTATCCAGTGAATTGATTCATTCATTACTAACTTGTGAAACTGCTATCTGGCTATCTGCTATTGTATTAAGAATTTAAAGATTACTGCTATTTTGCCAATATGTTTATTTTTTCCATATTTACCTTATTTGCTAAGGTAGTAACCTGCGATTGAACATCCTCTAACATTGTACCTTCTTTGACCTAATCAAAACAAAATAAAAGATGATTAAAACATGGATGATTGAACAAAATGGTGAGATTGGATGAAATGAAACTAATCATCACAAAAAAGAAAACATACATATTTTTTCCTATCAGACTTTCAGCTTTTAGACAACATAGTAGACTTCAAAAAAAAGGCATGTTGAAATTATTTCATTTTTTTATATATTTTACCAGTAAATTCATATGAAGTGTAGGAAAACATTGATTTCCAGTCACTTTTGATTCATTTTTCCCAAATGGCCTTGTGCTGAAAAATCTATTACAATAATGACATATCTCCGATTCTATTTATTACCTTTTGACTTGCAATGCCTCCATATTTGACTGCATTTTCAGTTGCTTTACTTGCTATCTTGGTGGCAGATGATGAGAGGAATGACCATCCCTACAACAGTTTCTCAAATCACTCATTTACATATATGCTATAGATGTAAGTCAGTGAAGTTTGATTAAAAGTGGAAACATAGATATCTACAATGACAAATATTTTTACTCCTTATAGACTGCTTAAGTTTCATCCATTTTTTATTTTATGCTATATAGACTAAATTAATAACTTCCTTAATAAAAAAAAAGTAATGGTTAGCAATTTATTACACTGGCAAGAGATGACATGGCAGTATCTACAAACTCTTGAGATTGACTTCTTGGTGGAGCATCCATTGAATAACCAAATCCACTATATTTTCCTCCTTGGCTTGGTGGAATATCACTAAAAATAAGATTGTCATTTCAAGAAGAATCATAATCATATTTTCAAAATTCTCACTCTCTCCTATTTGCATTCTCCATCTGTTTCTTACTGAAAAATGCTTCTGTCTGGTTTTTATATTCAGTAGAGTTGTAATTCTGGTAGCCTCCTTGATAACATTCACCACTGTTTGACGATTGATAAGAGTTGGTGTTTGAATAGCTATTACTAGCATTTTTGCCTATTGATGACCCTATGAGATTGCCTGTGTAGTTCTGTGCTGGAGATTTCTTTTCATCCCATGATTTACCTTGAGCCAGACATGATATCTACAATAAAAATAAGCACCCTTTAAAAATGAATTTTGTCTTCTAAATATGTTTTTGATTTTTGTTGCAATAAAATGGTATTTGAAACTATTATGCTTTGACAATGGTTGAAATTGGAAACAAAAACCTCAAAAGCTTTTAAATAATAGCTTAAGGGTAAGATATTATTTTCAATGTGGAGACATATGATATACAGTAATGGACAAAAGTATATAGACAAGTTAATATTGTGTTGTATTTCTTTTTTAACTTGTTTTATTAATACACCAATCTGTAGACATAATTCGGTATAGCATAATACTCACTTATACATAAATAAATTCATTAGACTCCCTTCAATAAAAAATGAATCGAAAAAAACTGGAACTACGAAGGACAAAAATATATAGACAAGGCAAAACAATTATAGAAAAAAGAAGCAAAGTTCATTGAATTATAGAAAACCAACCATGTTTGTGTTAATATTTTGTAGCATAACCATTATTATCAATCACCCCCTGGCATCGTCTCGGCATAGATTGTAGAAGTTTCCTGATATAAGATTCATCAATCTGTCTCTACTTTTGCTCTAAAGCGGCAAAAAGTTCATGCTTGTTTGAATAATTTTTATCTCGTATTTGCTTATCTAAGTATTCCCATAGATTTTCAATGGGGTTTATATCGAGATACTGTGAAGGCCATTTGAGAACTGGTATTATTCCATCCAGAAAGAATTTCTTTGCGAGATTTGAAGTGTGCTTCATGTCATTACCTTGCTGGAAGATTGATCTTAAAGGCATATTGTCTTCCATATAGGGTAACATGACATGCTTTAGTATGTCTGTGTATACAAACTTATCCATAATGCCATATATTTTATGTAAAGGTCCCAACCCAAACACCGAAAAGCACCCCCAAGCCATAACAGACCCACCTCCATGTTTGACAGTGGGCAAAGTGTACTTGGGGGTCAATCTTTGTCCACTAGAACGTCTAACGTAATGAACACCATCTGATCCAAACATATTGAACTTGGATTCGTCACTGAAACATACCCTCTTCCAGTCACAGATGCTCCAATCAAGATGGAACCGTGCAAATTGTAATCGGTCCTTGCGGTTTTTCCTCGAGATTAGCGGCTTCTTACTCCGGCAACGTGCGAATAACTTCAAATCATTTAATCTTCTGCTTAGAGTTTTCGTAGAAACACTGACAATTCCTTAAATGGATCTTTGGACGAAATTACTTTTATTAATCTAACTGATCTAGCATTTAGTTTTCTAGGCCGACCACTTCTCTTAGAGGCTTCCAATATACCTTTTTGTTTATATTTGTTCAATATGGCCCAAACTGCTTTACGCTTCAGCTTCAAATTTTTGGCAATGTCGACTTGACGTTGACCATCTTTGTATAACTCAATGATCTTAGTTTTCACTGAAGAGATAACCCTGGTGATTGTGGGAGCCGCGTTAAACTGATGTATAAAAATACAGTGTAGATGGAGGTGACACGTTACACGTTCACCTCCGGCATCTCTACTAATAAGAGCCGTGTGTGCCACGTGTATTTTCAAAATTAATTTCAACAAATCTTTTATGACATAGTCTAGGTTGTCTGTTTAGAAGTTCAATGCACCTTAAAGACAAAAACGTTATACAAATGGAAAGAACACGCTAAGCGCATTGGTGGCATATAGGTAGCATGCGAGTATGGCTGTATACCGCCAACGCACACTGCAATGTGATGTTACTTTTTATTGCAATCTCAATAACATTTAAAATACAAAAAAGTAACAGTTGAAAACAAAATTTACATAAAACAGGAATACAAATAATAAACAAAAGTGAAACCTGTATTACTAAGACAAAAGTTACTTCAATGAAAATTCCTGACGTTTACCTTGAATTGTATTCTTTTTTTTATTTAAAAACACTAAAATTATTAAAAAATAAACTAAATGAAACAAACTTCAAAAGAACAGGTAGAAGTGCACACTTCCATGAAACTACATACTTTCATGAAACTACATACTTTCATGAAATTTTCAGAAACAAGGGGTGAGACCAAGTCCAGGTTCGTTCGGGCATTGTGGACTACAATATTTACATCTGCGCCTTTTCGCTTTTCCTTTCAAATCTTTTAAGCAATATTCTGGGAGATGAGAAATCATAGTAGGTCGTTGTGCTTTTGGAGCAGGTGATAACATAATGGATAATAATCTGAAATCGTTAAAAGTTTGCTTTCCGGTCGGCAAATTTTTAAGAATCTATGAACATAGTTTGGAAAATGTGGATGGCCAACTTTGTGTTTTGTTTTCACAAGAATAATTCCTTTGCATCTGGTCAATACCACCCATACATTTACTATACTCAGCTACCGGTGTTGGTTTTCTTTTTTCTGTTCCTCTTTTGGAAATTACATTTACTATTTCTCTGTCAAATTCCGTATCAGTTAAAATGTCACGCATGTCCTTCCATTTGCTACCATCCTTTGTATACTCGAGAAACGCATTCTCCTTTTTCTAACTTTTTAGAAATAACTTTTTTTGGATTTCCAGTTTTATTTGTTCTAAGTGTGCCTGTGTTGTATGTTTTCTCTTGAAGTAGTTTTTCCGATAACGCGACACTATGATAAAAATTGTCCATATAAACCGAATGTCCTACACCTTTTTTGTCTTCTAATATGTAGGCTATGGACAACTCTTTCTGTATGTTTGTTACCACCTAGCATTGGATCTGCAGATCCTCCATAAACGAGAATTTTTGAACTAATCCAATAAGTTCTGCAAGGGCCTATGATTTATTTCCAAATGTATGTCGTTTTCCGAAATATTACCGAAACCTCGGCGCTTGCGCTCTGTGGAAACGTTACGAGGACAGCGGCGTGCGGCATGGTCAGTGGCGTAGCATGGACGTAGCAACAACTAACAATCTATTTGCAAGCCCATAAATTAATGGCAAAAACATTCAAACAAGAAATTTATAATTTTTCAAAGTGTTATCTGGCGGCCGGGCTCGTTGGCGGTGTTGAAAGTGTTAAGGTATGCGCTGTGTGCGTTGAAATGCCCCGTGAAATCCTTGGCCAACCGGAAGCTAATAAAATATTTCTTACACTGCATTCTTATTTTTTCTTTCAATTTTTGATAACGCTAGTGGTGTCAAATATCTGGTCGGTCAAATGGAGATAGGTCCGCAATATCCGAAACGCGGCGCAAAGCGATGGCCTCCTCCGTCCCCTCTAGCCATACCCGATCCTCACAGCGCTGCATGACCTGTCCGCCATTCAACTAATTTTATTTGTAAATCTCAGGCGATGGTGAATGTGTAATTCTCACAAAAGATGGACATAATATACGACATTCTGTGTGATACTGTTGAACAATGAGTATGTTGCTAAAAAATCCTGCCGGTTAGAATGGGACAGGTCGGTAACATCCGAAACGCGGCGCAAAGCGATGGCCTCCTCCTTCCCCTCTAGCCATACCCGATCCTCACAGCGCTGCATGACCTGCCCGTCATTCAACTAATTTTATTTGTAAACCTCAGGCGATGGTGAATCTGTAATTCTCACAAAAGATGGACATATTATATACATGATGCGATACTACTGAAGAATGAGTATGTTGCTAAAAAAATTCTGCCGGTTAGAATGGGACAGGTCGGCAATATCTGAAACGCGGCGCAAAGCGATGGCCTCCTCCTTCCCCTCTAGCCATACCCGATCCTCACAGCGCTGCATGACCTGTCCGTCATTTAACTAATTTCTCAGTCGATGGTGATAATTCTCGCATAAAGGGCAGACATAACGGACTTTTTGGTATTGTTCCACATTTTTACGAATTTTTTCGGGAATACAGCTGATCATTAACCACCGGAAGCATGAGTCGCACTGTACCCAATTGTCCGTCGTTTCGGTATCAGTTATTCCGCAAATTAAGCAACGCTCTCTCATATCGTCCGAGCAATCTAACACGAATTTTTGCAAAACAAATCTGTAATCATCTGGTTCATAGCACTGGAATAGGTCCGCGTGTAAAGAATACTTTTGAATTACCTTTTCGGCACACAATAATACCGTAAACTCCGCAGTTATACTGGATGGCTTTTAACAATATGCTGCCATTCCCTTTCGTTATCTCCGAATAATTTCTTTTTGTACTTTAATGTCTCTGCGGAAGTGCTACCGGAAGGATTGTAAAAAACGAATACTTTTCTGTCGGAATCTACGATCGACAAACACCAGTACGACGCGTTTATATTTTCGGCATTTTGTAAGACTACAGCAATACCCTTGTAACCGGCGGGTGCGAATTTTTCTTTTCCGCTAAATAACCTGGCCGCTGTGTGTGTGGTGATAACTTGTACACCTGTGCTATACTTTTTCGCAAAGCATTGTAAGAGGATGTCGATTAAAAAGTTTGACAGCCATCTCTCTCTTTCCGAATTTTGTAATGATAGGGCTGCGTAGTCCTCAAATCTCAATTCATTTACTGGCTGAATGCCTTCGAACCGTCCGATAACGAAAATTTTCCTAAATTGCAGAGAGTATCGCGCACCGTACCCGACAGACTTCTTTCTTTGGAGCTGGGGTGTAGGACCGTTTGTAACAACATTTTGAAACCTGATTATAATAGCTCTTGTTGTGTACTTTAAACCCTGAAAAGCCCATCGACGCACTTCTGCAGGTTTTCACGAAAAAAAAAAGTTTCCTAAATTGCAGAGTGTATCGCGCACCATACCCGTCAGACTTCTTTCTTTGGAGCTGGGGTGTAACACCGTTTGTAACAACATTACAATAACTAATTATAATAGCTCTTGTTGTGTACTTTAAACCCTGAAAAGCCCATCGACGCGCTTCTGCAGGTTTTCACGAAAAAAAATGATTCCTAAATTGCAGAGTGTATCGCGCACCATACCCGACAGACTTCTTTCTTTGGAGCTGAGGTGTAGGACCGTTTGTAACAACATTACAATAACTGATTATAATAGCTCTTGTTGTGTACTCCAAACCCTGAAAAACCCATCGACGCACTTCTACAGGTTTTCACGAAAAAAAAAAAAAATGTTTCCTAAATTGCAGAGTGTATCG